TACTCTTAACCAGTCTTCTGGTGTTAGACGTTCATCCTGACTCAATTCCAACGAAAATTCGGCAACATACCCTACCGGGGTATCCTTCCACCGTATGCTTACCAGTCGGATCCTCAACACTTTCAGTAGAGCACATAGGATTGTAAGCAGTTCTTCTCAGACCTCCTCCCAGTTATCTGAATCTACTGCAGAGGCCCATGGATGTTACCAATAATCTCTTTCGTAGATATATGGGAGCACATATGCCTCGCCGTGCAGTAATTACAGCAAATCCGCTCAATAACGTCTTTATGAGCGGAGAAAAAATAAAATGCAAGAGAACTAGGGTTATAAAATTCCAGGAACAGCCCCCAAATGTAATGAACAACGGGCTGTTACTACGCATGTACCGTACCATATGGCAACCCTACCGGGTTCAGACTCTATGTTATAAAGACAGCCTATCTATATTGCACGGGCTCAAACACTCAAATAATTGCCTTTAGAATGTATCCCAGTCGAGTAATATTGAAAAGGAAATCCAGGAATAACAGTTCTCCCTCGTGACTCTGCAGTCAGTCAGAGACCCCCAACCGCTGCATCACTCACAGCCAGCCCTAGCCTGGTGGACCGCCGAGCATTTTTGACTTTGTCATCTTAAATTTCTACACCCAGGATTGCCATTTATCTCTATTAGTATTTTGTTTGTTATATTTTATCTAACAAGGTCTCCGCAGTTTCCACTTCAGCTCCACTGCAGTGCCTGTGCACACCAAACGGTTTCCGACGGGGACGGCACGAGCCCTCATAAACAGCGATAAAAACAAGGCGCACAACAACTCTACATAGAAACCTTTCTTGTATCACCTTATTTTAATATTAATTATATTTAGTTTCAAGTTTCGCTCGCATTTTCGGCACTATTGTTCCGTACTGCTCCATTGAAGGTGCACGAGACTTGAGGACCAGCCGAGGAACTCCGACTTCTCTGCCTACTTTCCTGAACTCCTTATTTTGTGCATATTTATTTCTGTTCCTTTTTAAAAGAAAACAGATATTGAAATTCTCTCTCTTCTTTCACAACCATGGCTTCTTTCTACAGGACGGCAACAGCAGTGTGCCTCGTCGCACTCGGTGTGCTCCAATCCCAGGCACAAGGGAATAATACAACATATAAATTTACAGTAGTGGATGTAGATGAAGGTGAGCATGTCTTCCTGTCCATTTCACACGTCATGCTTTTCTCCTTCGTGCTTGATGCCAAGCTATCAAGTACTCAGCTGCGACGGGCCCACAGTCGCCTCATTGCTGTACTCCCTCGTGTGTCTTTGTTCGTGTTTCTCCGCCGCAGACGCCTACTTGTCCGCCAACTTGGCCCGTAATGGGAAGCTCCCAGTTCACATCAGTGAGGTCACAAAGGACGAAAGCCTTGTCACTCAGTTGACGGGAGAAGTAACAAAAGCAACAGCCGAAGTAGAGCCCGATGCGGAGGGCTGCACTGCATTGATAACCGCCGAACTGGTGAGCAAAACAACTACCTAATCAGTGAATTTGAGCTGTTGCTCTCGGCACTCGTGCTGCGGCAACAGCCGCTCTAAACCACACTGTATAGCCTGACGCAAACTGTGCAGTCATTCAGCTGCCGGATACGAGAAGCTGCCCTGTCTTCGTACGTATCGTTTTGGCGTATAGAAGGAGCGCTTCCATTACTCTTTCGAGCACGAACCCCAGTCAGAGGACAGTATCGACTACCGTCAATTACTGCAGAAAGCCCTTGACGCAGGATTGGAAGTCTTCAAGTAAGTAGATGCTGCGTTCACCATCACTACAGACAAACCTCATATCAATTCCTTGTACAGCTAAACGCGGGGCGGTTGATGACAAACGTGCAGGCAGGCAACTGCGTAGCCTTCTCTGCAACCCATTTCTCACTATGCGCCTGTGCTGTGCTCTGCTGACATTTTTTCAAAAGCAAAACATACCCCAAGACCGAACAAGAGTGGCAAAATATCTGGAAAGATGGTGCAGGC